AGCACAAGTTATCACTATGCAGATGACCTGCTTTTATTTATCGCAGATCCTCATAATTCTCTCCCTCATGTTATGACTGCACTTGAGCGTTTTAGGCGCATTTCGGGATACAAACTCAACCTCTCTAAGAGTGAATTATTTCCTATAAATCGCGTAGCAAAAAATACTTCTTTTTCTCACTACCCATTTGCAGTAGCCCCTGATAAATTGATATATTTAGGTGTGGTTATTTTAAGAAATATCTCTGAGCTGTTTAAGCTCAACTTTACTCTCCTCTTGGAACAAACTAGGATATTCCTTGAAAAATGGTCTAAGCTCCCCACTTCTTTGATTGGTAGGATCAATGTAATTAAAATGAATACGCTCCCTAAATTTTTATATTTGTTCCAAACTATACCGATTTACATTAAGAAATCTTTTTTTGCTCATTTAAATAAGATAATCTCGTCTGATCTTTGGAATAAGAAACCCCCCCAGAATACGTCTACAATTTCTGCAAAACCCTAAAGAACAGGGGGGATGGCCCTCCCAAATTTTCAACTATATTATTGGGCTTGTAACTTAAGAGCTCTGACTTATTGGCAAGGTTCACATTATATAAATCACGTACCGGATTGGGTCCAGATAGAATCCTCAGCCTGCCTTCCTTCCTCGCTTTCAGCTCTTCTATTTTCACCCTTGCCGATGGGTCTATACTCTCAATCGTTGCACCCAATGGTATGGAACTCCATTCAGATTTGGGCCCAAAATCGCAAATATTTCGCATGGCAAAAAGGTTCAATTTGTGCCCCAGTTGCCAGAAATCATAGATTTTCTCAGCCTCTGAACGACCAGGCATTCTTGCTATGGCAAGAAAAAGGTATCTTAACATTTAAAGATCTTTTTGCTGATGGCTGCTGCTTGTCTTTTGCCCAATTAGAATCTCAATTTAAAATACCTAAAGCCCACTTTTTCAGATATCTACAGGTGCGCGATTTCACATGCAATAATTTTTCCTCTTTTCCTTCCCTTCCTGAACAAAACCCTATTGATCAACTTTTTCCTGACGACCCAGAACAAAGAGGAACCATTTCTGGCTTATTTACAAAACTTTTATCATTATTATCCACTTCTATAACTGCACAAAGAGACTGCTGGCAACTGGACCTTAATCAGAATCAGAATCAGAATGAGCTTTATTGCCAGGTATGTTTACACATACGAGGAATTTGTTTTCGTGACAGAAGCTTCCACAGTGTAACAGAATGACAGTGACAGAACAAAACAAAAAACACAGATAATAAAAAATAAAAATATATAAAAAATAGAACAAGTAAAAAAATCCTTTAACTGCCATCTTTGGTATTGTATGTGAAAATAACACTGTCAAAATGTGAATTGGACTGCATCACCTTTACTTCTCTTTTGGCAAGGCGCTTGGTTTTAATTAATTGGAAATAGTCATTTCCCCCTTCTTTTAAACAGTGGGCCAGAGATGTTACAATTCCTGAGTTTGGAAAAAATAAGACTTAATTTAAAGGGTTCCGGGTCTAAGTTCACTGCCATATGGTGTCCTTTCATAAATTATTTACAAAACCAAGTATAATTGTAAGTGGATAAACTGATGCTGATGCTGTCCACGCACAGGTGTTGTGCTTCTGTGATCAGTGTGGCAGCGGCGTTTCCAGGGCGACGCTGACCTGGGACCGGGATACTCGCCACATTCCCTCCCCCTAGGCGTCGCCCTGGTCCTGTCGGGAAACACACAACTCGTTGTGGGGGTATTTAGGGGGGGGGATTTGAAGTTACCTGCCCAACCGGACCAGCCCCGGGAGAGACCGTCCGCATTCCCGTGATCGGCCCCGGCCCGATGTTGTACCTGGAAGCAGAAGTCCTGGAGTGCGAGGAACCACCCATCCACAAAGTCGGGGACCGCCGGTCTGCTGCCTGGTCGCGGTGCACCTTCGAGCGGACGCCGCTCCATCATCCTGCGGGGTGCCAGGCCCGCTCTCTCCCCTGCCTCACGGGCGTTCGTCGCCGCCGCCAGCTCGACCGCTTCTACCAGACCGTGGATGTCCTATGGGATTTCGCATACTGATCGGGCGCCTCAGCGGGCGGGGCAGCGCCCGTAGCAGCCGATCGATGAGGACTTTCTCCGCTACCTGGTCAGCGGTAGGGGACCCCGCGAGAAGCCACAGGTGAGCCAATCGGGCCAGTTGCGCAGCTTGCGCTCTTACTGTCTGCCGTTCATCATAGGTCCATTGATAGAATTGTTGCGTGGCCCCCATGGGAGACAGGCCCACCCTGGCTAGAATTTCGTCTTTTAGCTCGTCATATTTTTCATTCCGGGGTGCCCGCAGGGCATAATAGGCCCGCTGCGCTGGCGGGCCGAGAGCTCAGTTAGGCGGCGGATGACCTCTTCCATTTGTTCACTTCCCTTAGTTCTCCTAGAAGAAGCACAGAGATTGTTACAGCAACCTGGTGGTACAAGTCTGTGTCTCAATTCACCTGTAATGCCCGCATTCTCCACCATATGTCGCGGGGTGAATGAGAACACAGACTCGGTACT